AAATATTTACGATGCTCTTCTGTGTTGTTATTGTTTCTGTAGTTCATCCAAGCTGCCAAATGACTTGCTTGATTTACAGCCAGCTTTTCATCCAGGTGTGCATCCAATATCCTCTGCACCACAAGTGGGAGGGACCTGGGGAGGTAAGAGATTTTGTGATTATGACACAGCCACTCCTTCTCTTAATAAAAATTCACAATCCCTGCTGTATTTGGTTGATAGAAGCCATGGTTTTGACGTTTCTAAATGTGTGGGACCACATGTTTCTTTAAAGCCTTAAAATTTCACGGATCAGAACAAGTTTTGTTTTGAATTTCCATCAACATTATTGAATTGCTATTTATTTTATTGGGCTACTGTGTTGTATATGTCTCGAGCAATGTCCATTATTGGCTGATTTGCCTCCGTTCTTTGAGCAATATTTGCAAATACAGGTGGGATTTCAATAACAGGACAAAATATATATAGCTAACAAGAAAAATAAAAACAAATTAACATTCTGCCAGCTTATTTCCAGTCTCCAAACTGTGTGCTCTGGGTTCAGTTGTGCTGGTGCTTTGGGAAACAATAGATCTTATTTAGCCAGGATTCAGCAGAGACTGAAATATGTAAGTTTAGGTATTTAGATACCTAAATTTATAGATTAAAAGTTGAGAGGGTATCTGTCCGACTTGAATAAAACAATTTTGAAATAATTCAAGAGAATGATATATACGATGCAAGTTATGCCTCACTGTTAAGGAAATTGTGCTTAGCTCATTACAATTCTACTTTAAGACATAAAAAAGTGTCGCTGGTATCTTCCTTCCCCCCTTTTCCCCGTCTCCCTTTCTCAGTAATGATTAGTCTTCATTTTTGCATCAAACCAGAGGGAGTAGGTTTAAGGCTTGAACTGTCAGGTTGACTTTAACACAGTGTTTCTCAACCTTGACCATTTTAAGGCATGTGGACTTCAACTCCCAGAATTCCACAGCCAGCAATGCTGGCTGTGGAATTCTGGGAGTTGAAGTCCACATGCCTTAAAATGGTCAAGGTTGAGAAACACTGCTTTAACAAGAGCAATAAGTAGATTTCAGTCTGCTTTCAGTCTCTGGATAGGAAAAAAAAAAACACCATTATTTGTAGAAATACTGAAGTAAAAACAGGAAGCTTCCTTATAGTATATAAGGGTTGATCCTTTCAAAAGCCAATTTTAGGATACTTCTGTCAGGCACTTTGTTGACCATTATTTCATATGGAACTTTTTCGGCCACACAGTTCGTTATTCGTGAAACCATTTGACGTGGACATACTATGACCCATATTTATCTGTTTGTTGCGTTTGTCTTTCCCTCAGGAACTCAGAGTGACAGTCATAGCACTTCCTAACTAAGAAAGGAATTAGATGTAACTCTTCCACAATGCTTTTCCAGGAAAAAAAAAAAGGCTAAAAGCTTGCCTTATTAAAAATGCAGCCAACAGACTAAGTCACTGTAAAAGAGCAGAGTTCTCTGCAAGCATACAATCTTGAAGATGAATTTGATTATTATTGTAACTTTCCAGAATTTAAGAATTAAAAAAAAAATACCTGTAAACATCACGATTCTGTTTTGTATTTGCCCCTTTGCTATGTTTGAAGAGAATCGTGGAAGGCAGAAAGAATATTAAAAGCTCCTTACGTTTGGATTTTATGTCTTCTTTATCTTCCTCTTTTTTTCCCTAAATAACAATGCAGTTCTTTATCCTGCTTGCTTTTTCTATCTGATCTGCCTTTCACATTGCAATGAGATGGTTATGCATTTTCTTTTAAGCCGTGGTGTTTTATACGGTGTGATTCAGAGTAACCATGTTTCTATGGTAGCTGTTCATTAAGATGGGAGGGGGCTGAAGCAGAATTCCTCCTCCCCCCTCCTATTTTTTGGTAGTGATAGCCAAAGTAGCACCCTATCTAAAATTGTTAAGTACATGGAAGAAAATCTGTATGAAGGTCATAATTATAGTTCTGAGAGTTTTCCTAGAGAAAATGATAAGCCACAGTAAGGTGCTTTTTTTTTTTTTAACTCGGTCTGTCATTTGATGCATATGTTCAGCTTTATCTTCTATCACCTACCCCATAATCCTCAGCTAGAATGGACTTATAATTATGCTCACGGAAGATTATGGAAATTGAAGCCCAGCTCACCGGGAGAGCAAAAAATTGGGGAAAGCTGTGTAGCCTTTGGGGGGAAGCAGTGTGTTGAAGAAATGGAGAAGCGCTGGATAAAAATAGATTTTATTTCAATTAAAGTTTGAAATTCAGTGCATTTAATAGGATTATTCCCCTTGTTCCTTTCTGTCATGCTGAAAGAATAATGATGATGAAGATGATGATGATGATGATGATGGCAAAAGCAAGCAAGGGTAGTACCAATAGTCATAGGCGCCTTGGGTGCAGTCCCAAAACAACTGGAGCACCACTTGAACACCATTGGCATTGACAAATTCGCTATTAGTCAATTGCAAAAGGCGGCCTTACTAGGAACCGCCTCCATCCTGCAACGATACCTGTAATACCATCAAACATCCACATCTGCCTATCCCAGGTCCTTGGTAAGGACTCGATAGGTAGACAAAATGCCAAATTCAGTCTGAACATCTGGCTGACTGTGCGATGATCAATAATAATGAGGAGGAGGAGGAGGAAGAGGAAGGGACCTTGGAGGTTATTGAGTCCAACCCCTTCCTCAGGCAGGAAACCCTACACCATTTCAGACATGGCTGTCCAGTCTCTTCTTAAAAATTCCAGTGTTGGAGCATTCACCGCTTCTGGAGGCAGGTTGTTCCACTGGTTAATTGTTCTAACTGTCAGGAAGTTTCTCTTTAGTTCTAGGTTGCTTCTCTCCTTGATTAGTTTCCATCCGTATAATTCTGGTATTGCTCTGGCGTTCTGAGCCCCCATTTTGGAAGAGGCACAGGCAGCTTTGGAAAGTTCATTTCTGCTCTGAGATTGTGATTGGAAGCGGAACCAAAGGTGCTTTTTCGAGAGACAACTGGACTTCCTTTGCTTTTCCTTTTCATCCAAGAAGCTTCTTCAGTTCTGACTTGAGAATAGAGTCAAATTGAGTCAGAACTGAAGAAGCTTCTTGGATGAGAAGGGAAATGTCTTCAAGGAAAAGCAAAGAAAGTCCAGTTACCTCTTGAAAAAGCACCTTTGGGACAACCCTGATGTGGATGGACTGAGAAACTCTATAGACATTGGAAGCAAACATTAGAAATACTTGCTAGATGGCATTAGGGAGTCCCTGTTTGCAATTCTGTTCATAGAGGAGAAAGCTAAAAGACAAAAATCTCATAACTTAAGGCTTGGTTTTCCTTACCTGCGTTTAGTCTCCATATTGAACCGAGAAAACTGATCTTTAACCTTTCAAAAGACTAGAAAGTGGCTTTTAATTTTTACAGGTAGTTATTCTGCTTTGGTATTTTTTTGATAAACCATCAAAATTTATAAGCCAACTGTATAAAATAAGAAACATTATACTGTGAGCCACTCAGAATGTTAGGAGGTTGAGGAACAAAAATCGCTGAACGATATGTGGAATTCATATCCAAAAGCCACAAAGGTCAGAATGAGCTGTTGATTTGCTTGCCTCTAATCTCAAATAGTGTCTTAGAGTTCTCTGTTAGTTGCTGTATAAGGTATTTGAAAGAGGTAATATTGAAAACATGAACAGTCATGACCTGTGATAGAGAAACTTGCAATTTCAACCAAGGTGTCTTCTGACAGCAACTGAGAAGAATATTGCATAGGGCTGATAAAATGGGCCCTAATCTTCAGAGAGATTCATATTGTAATACATTTGTTAATCTTTAAGGAGATGCAAGATTCGAATCAGTGTTCTATTGGACAAAAGAAGCTGGTTGTACAATAGACATTGTGAACGACATCGGTACCATTGTATAGTTTCAGACAAAAGGTGCTTGTTTTCGACATATCAGTTCAGTATCTAACATACTGATGTGAAAGTAGACAAAGATTAATTGCATGCACAGATGGTAAAAGTCCAAAGTACAAGTTGACTGCCCGACTTTCCTTCCAACAATGATGGAAATACCTGTACTTTCACCTTGAAGTGCTGACATTTACTTTCCATTTATTGATTGACTGATAAATCCAGTCCCATCAGGTCGCTGATGACTCTTAGAAACCATATAGATAGATTGCATTTCTTACTTCATTTCTGAAGCTTTTTGAAATTTGCAGAGATGTTAGTAAATTTGTAGGTTAAATAGATAACTGTATATAGCAATGAAAAGAAACTTTTGCAGTTTGTTATAGCTCAGCTTGGAGATAACATCTAGCCAAACTCAATCAACCTTGAAAAGCTAAGCATGGTCAGACCTGATCAGTACTTGAGTGAGAGACTGTCAGGAAATCCCTAGGCTATAAACTAGACTGGAAAATTGGGGGGGGAAAGGAGGGGGGAAATCCCCGAAAAGAGCAGTACAAATCACTTCAATATTGTTGTCACGAAAATCACAAAAATATGTTCATGAAGTCATCAGGAGCTGAGCCGGATTCTATAGAGACATGCATATACACTGAACAAATTAACTAATTTAGCTTGATCATGATAGCTATTTCGATTTGAAGACAAAAGACGTGATTCAGAGCACATGGAGTTATGAACATAGCATGTATTTGCAGCTCTTAAAACCATTTCCCAGAATTGCTGGTCAGTCACGCAGTCTCCAGAAAAAGCTTTAGCTGTTTTCTCTGTGTGAAAGCACCTGCAGAATAGCAAACTTGTTGATTTCCTAAAGAAATTGCTTTTCTTAGTAGACTGTGCTTGTACGGGTAGTCCTTGACTTATGACCACAATTGAGCCCAGAATTTATGTTGCTTTATTAAGTGAGTTTTTGCCTCATTTTATGACTTTTCTTAACACATTCCTTAAATAAATCCCTGCAGTGGTTAAATTAGTAACAAGGTTGTTAAGTGAATCCGGCTTCCCCATTGACTTTGCTTGTCGGAAGGTCGCAAAAGCTGATCACGTGACCCTGGAACACTGCAATTGCCATAAATATGAACCAGTTGTCAAGCATCCAATGTAAATTACATGACCATGGGGATGCTGCAATAATTATAAGCATGAAAAATGGTCATAAGCCGCTTTTTTCAGTGCCATTGTAACTTCAAATGGTCACTAAATGTACCGTTGTCAGTCAAGGGCTACCTGTACAGTACTCTGCAGTTGATTAATATGAATGCATATACCATCTCCTTGTAAGAGTAATTAGTAGGGTTTTTTTTCTTTTAGCTAAAGATAATATGCAAACATTTAGCTAAGGATAGTATGCAAACCACTGCGTGGTCACATTAACCAGAATTCGAAACTCACAATTGCAGTTTAACTTAATTCCACTTAACTAGAAAGAGCAGCCATTCTCCCCATTAAAAAAGAGTTGCTGATTGTTATTCAGGCCACCATGTAGAACGAGGAGAAAGAGTTATTGCATGCATTAGCCCAGTGGTTCTCAACCTTTTTAATGCTGCGACCCCAACCGGTCGTAAGTCAAGGACTACTCAACTGGTGCAGCACTGTTTGCACACTGGGACTTTTGGCGGGCTCAGCAGGGCAGAGACAGCCTGGACAATTCCTATTGGCTTTTGAAATCTCTCTCTATTCAAGAGAGTCTATTCTATTGGCTTTCAAAAGCCAATAGAATAAAAGGGAGTAGCAAGCTAAGGAAAAGAGGGAAAAAATGGCGGACTGCGTTGTTTGGCGACCCCCGTGAAATGGTCGTTCGACCCCAAATGGGGTCCCGGCCCACAGGTTGAGAACCACTGCATTAGCCAGAATAATTTAATCTATCAAATACGCCCCCTGTATGATCTGGATGCAAACTGTAAACAAGTAAGTATCTGCTTATGTTCTTCCTGAATACTAATACGTAGCTAATTTGGTTCCCCTTCCCTTTCCTCCTTGTTCCACCTGAACTGTTGCAGATCCTTTCACATCCACTCCTGAGGCTGTTGACGATGCCATTCCAAACTTAAATCCTTTGGTCACAAAATCTAGCAATCACCTCTCCTCTGATGCACTCCCTTCTTTCACTTCTAGGACACCAACTCACGAGATGTTTGTTGGTAAAGTACTGGCTGGCTAGCTGGCTTTTCTTTTCTCTGATGGGACTTGTCAATTGTAGGCAAATTCTAAGGTCTTTCAGTCAGAGGGGAAAAAAAGAGTCCACTTCTGAACATCTATCTTAACCTCTGCTAATAATTTAATTCAGGGGTCTCCAAACCTGGCAACTTTTAAGAGCTGTGGACTTCAACTCCCAGAATTCCTCGGCTGACTGGCTGAGGACTTCCGGAAGTTGAAGTCCACAAGTCTTAAAGTTGCCAAGTTTGGAGACCCCCCAGGCAGTCCTCAACTTATGACCATCACCGGGACTGGGATTTCAGTCGCTAAGCCAATATGGTCAGTAGGCAATGCATCCCGTGCCCAGAATGAGTTGATGACCATTTTTACCATGGTTGTTAAGCAAATCTTTGCTTACCAGAAGCCCGGCTGGGAAGATTGCAAATCTGTGGTCACGTGACCTCAAGATGCAGCAACCCTTGTCATTGCAAGTCAGTTCACAAGCACCTGAATTGCAATCACATAGCCTCTGGCATTGTAACTTTGAACAATTGTTAACATTTATAAGCTGAGGAGTACCTATATCACCAAATTTTAAAGACAAGTGAATGATGGGGAGGGAGTTATGTTAGATTCCTTTCCATCTACCTGTCTGTCTTCTCTCTGTTTGACTCAATATCAGTTTTTCATTGATTTTCTCCTGGAAGGGATTAAACTTTGCTTTAGTCGATCATTAATATTTTTGGGGTGCCAGACACTAAATCAGTGGTTCTCAACCTGGGGTCAGGACCCCATTTGGGGTCGAATGACCATTTCACGGAGGTCGCCAAACAACGCAGTCCGTCATTTTTTCCCCCTTTTCCTTAGCTGTGCTACTCCCTTTTATTCTATTGGCTTTTGAAAGCCAATAGAATAGACTCTCTTGAATAGAGTCTAATTCTATTGGCTTTCAAAAGCCAATAGGAATTGTCCAGGCTGTCTCTGCCCTGCTGAGCCCGCCAAAAGTCCCATTCTGCAAACGGTGCTGCACCAGTTGAGTAGTCCTCAACTTACGACCAGTTGAGTAGTCCTCGACTTACAACCGGTTGGGGGTCGCGGCATTAAAAAGGTTGAGAACCACTGCACTAAATGGTCTTACCACAGGGAGCAACCCAGTAATATATCCCAGTTCATATCAAGCTCATGTAATAGCTCTCATGGGTGCCCTTAATCCTTGTGATTTTGGTCATTAAGTTAAGGAAGGTACAGTGCTATCTGATCTGAGAAATATAACCCCCAAATCTTTTATGCCCAAATCTTTTGACTTTCAATTTAACTTTTCTGGTTGTCTAGATGACATCAAGCTGCTGTTGTTTTTTTTAACCGGACCCCCTGGGGAAACCCATATAATCATCCACTGCAGGTAGACCTCAGCTTTTGATTGAGCCCCAAATTTCTGTTGCTAAGTAAGACATTTGTTAAGTGAGTTTTGCCCTGCTTTACGACCTTTCTTGCCACCGTTGTTAAGTGAATCGCTGCAGTTGGTAAGTTAGTAACCCGGTTGTTAAGTGCATCTGGTTTCCCCATTGACCTTGCTTGTCAGAAGGTCGCCAAAGGAGATCATGTGACCCCAGGACAGGGGCAGGCAACCTTGGTTCTTTTATGACTCGTGGACTTCAACTCCCAGAATTCCTGAGCCAGCCACGCTGAGGGGAAAGGGAGAGTTTTCAAGCTGAGCCATGCTGGCTCAGGAATTTTGGGAGTTGAAGTCCACAAGTCATAAAAGGGCCAAGGTTGCCTACCCCTGCCCCCGGACAATGCAACCGTCATAAATATGGGTCAGTTGCCAAGCATCTGAATTTTGATGACGTGACCAGGGGGGTGCTGCAAAGGCCGTAAGAGTGAAAAGCGGTCATAAGTCACTTCTTTCAGTGCCATTGTAACTTTCAACTGTCACTAAACAAACTGTTGTATGTCGAGGACTACTTGTAATCAGCTATCCCACTTTACTTTCCCCCACTTTTGAGATATAAAATGTAACATTTAACATTCCCTTCTCTCTCTCTCTCTCTCTCTCTCTCTCTCTCTCTCTCTCTCTCTTTCTCCTCTCTCTCTCTCTCCCTCTCTCTCTTTCTCTTTCTTTCTTTCTCCTCTCTCTCTTTCTTTCTCTCTCTCTTTTTCCTCTCTCTTTCTGTCTTCTCTTTTTTTCTTCTCTCTCTTTTTCTTTCTCCTCTCTCTCTCTCTCATTCTCTCTCTCTCTCTCTCTCTCTCTGATGTCATGTAGTTATAGTCTTAACTTAGTGTCTGAATGTTTGGTTAACCGTATAATAGTGTGCATTCTTTTTTCTTTTTTCCATAACATTCCTCCTTTGCTCTTCTGCTTCACCTGCTTCTATCAGATTCTTTTTGTGGCCCACAAGCTTATCCTAATGCTTCCCATTTCTGCAGTGAACCCTCAACTGTAGCTGGTCTATTTGAAGGTAGGTAAAAAAAAGTTTTGTTCCTTATGCAGTCGGACGTTCATAGTTGATTCAGTTTTTAAACCTTCAGGTGAATAAACTGTGAGTTCTAGTCCTGATAGGCACAAAGCCAGCTGGGTGACCTTGGACCAGTCATTCTCTCTCAGCCCTAAGAAAGAAGCAATAGCAAAAGCACTTCTGAAACCTTGCCAAGAAAACTGCAGGGACTAGTTCAGGCAGTTGCCAGGAGTCCAGACTGGCTCAAAGACATTTTAAAAATGGGGAGAAACAGTTTACGTTCTTTAAACCTCAAAGGACTTTTTAATTTCTCTCTTTTTGAAAAGCAACATATTGTTGTCCAAAATATTGCAAATACTGGTTTTTGCCTATTAGTTTCTGCTGTTGTTCAATCATAGATCATAATCATGTATCTTCTGGCGATGTCCTAAAGCTGCTTTTTCAAAAGACAATTTGGACTTTCTTTGTTTTGCTTGGAAGGGGTTTCGCTTCTCGTCCAAGAAGCTTCTTCCGTTCTGAAGAAGAACGGAGGAAGCTTCTTGGACGAGAAGCGAAACATCTTCAAGCAAAACAAAGAAAGTCCAAATTGTCTTTTGAAAAAGCACCCTTGGGACAACCATGACTTATATGACTGAGAATCTCCATAGATATTCTTCTGGTGATGGTTTTCCTAAGTAAGCCTACTGCCTTTATACATTTTGTTTATTTTATTACCTTAAGACATGGGTAGGCAACCTTGGCTCTTTTATGACTCGTGGACTTCAACTCCCAGAATTCCTGAGCCAGCATGGCCCAGCTTGGAAACCTCTTCCTTTCCCCTCAGCATGGCTGGCTCAGGAATTCTGGGAGTTGAAGTCCACGAGTCATAAAAGAGCCAAGGTTGCCTTAAGATAAAAGTTCAACATGTATGAAAAGGCATTCTGGTTGGTTTTTTTCTTAAATAGAAAAAATGACATGCAGTTGATATCAGTTTTGGTTTTATAGCAGTTTTAAAATGGAGAATGTGGGAAACAGTCTGCGCTATTTAAGTAATTCTCATCATGCTGAGGAAAAGTCCTTTTTAAAAAAAAAACTGCTGGTAGTTGCATTAGAAGATGCTTAGTACAATATCATTATCCCATTTGAAACAGAGTACATATAGTTATATTTTGAGTTGTTCTCAGCACAGTGATAACATATGGACCATACAATTCTGTGGAAAAGTATTCTTCATTTAGATTTTTGGATTGTTTGCCAACCTAAACCTCATAAAAACATAACAGGACCTAAAATGAGCAACTTGTGCTAGTAAACCTCAATGAATCGACCAGAATTCTTACACAGCCCCATCAGAGATTAATCACCAATTACAGAAAGTATTGGTTGCAATTATTGTAACTAGAGCTGGTGAATAACTAGAGTTTCTGAATCTAAGGAGGTGAGGGAGCACCCAACAATATGTTACCTGTTCTGTTGGATTACAATTATGTATTAGCAACACAATAATTAGTAATATGGAGTTAACATTCCATAGCATGGATATGGAGAAGTTCAAAAAATTCAAAACGGAGCAAATTATTTTTTCATAGAAGTGTGTCAGGAACCTAAGAACCGCTTTAATCAGCTCAACAATTCATCTTGTCATGCTGGACCTGCTGGAAACTCCCTTCATTATTTTGTTTATAGATTCTTAGTCAACATCCTTTTACAGTTAACTACCGTTTCTGACTAACAGCAAGTAAATGGTGTCTTGATAAATGAACGATTGGGAGTATCAATCAGTCTTTATTATGGTCATAAACCAGCAAATTGAAATGGGCTACAGTCATTTAAAAGAAGCATAAAATGTATGCCAGTGAAAAATCTAAAAAGAGTTATAAAATACACATATATAAACATAGTGAGTATAAAGGGCATAAGATAAGCTGCAGGAGCTCTAGATGGATATAGGGGAGACAAAAGAGTTATTATGGGGAAATCTATTAGGTTACAAAGCTAACATGATATATTTGGTGCCCATTTGTTTACATTTATAATGTGGGGTGCCACAAAGAAGAGGGGGGGTCGACCTATTCTCTAAAATATCTGAAAGCAGAACAAGAAGCAACGGATGGAAATCAACCAAAGAGAGAAGCAACCTAGAACTAAGGAGAAATTTCCTGACAGTTAGAACAATCAACCAATGGGACGACTTGCCTTTAAAAGTTGTGAATGCTCCAACACTGGAAATTTTCAAGAAGAGACTGGACAACCATTTGTCTGAAATGGTATAAGGTTTCCTGCTCGAGCAGGGGGTTGGACTAGAAGACCTCCAAGGTCCCTTTCAACCCTGGTTATTTTGTTATCCTGATCCCTGAAAATAAGCCAGAAGTCATTATCTGAATTTTAATCAGTGCTGTACAGTTTACCTCCCATTGCAATGAGGTGTAAGAAACTCAGGAACTTGAAGTTCTTCTATGATTGGGAGTAGAAGAGTAGAAATGTATTTTTTTTTCAACAGAGGCAAACCTTTAGATAGAATTTAAACTGATTAAGTTAATTACTTAAGTAAGGAAATGTTCAAAAGAAAGATTCCGATTTTTATTTTTTCTGTTTTCTGTGTTCAGGATTTTTTTTTTTTTCTTTTTTGCCTATCTGGTCTTCCTAAAAAGAACAAGCTGTCATGTTCTGAGTTCAGAAGCTTGTAATGAAATCCTGAAATCCGAATCTGTTTTTGTGAAGTTCTGTTTCCTGAATGTATTGCCATGTTTTCATTTGACGACTTAAGATTTCAGATCAAGCGTTTGCCTTTTTGACATTTTGGCATTCTGCGGCATACTAATAGGACTATAAATAACTATCTGTCTATCTCATCTTCTAACCGAAAAAGTGTCATCTTCTCTGACTTCTTTTTCATATAAAACGATTACTGTGTAATGTTTTAGTTCTTGTGAATGCCATTTCCAGGTCTACAAAACTAATAATACTTTTGAAAGGACTTGTGTTCAGTTGACCAGTTATATACGGACAATACAAGCTGTAGGGACGACCGTGTGTTTTCCATGCTGGAATTGTATTTCCTTCTCTATTTTTGTTCCCTGGCTTTGCTATTTCTAATAACAACTTTCGTTGTTGACACTATTGCAGTAATCTAATTACTGAATTTGCCTGGAGGTTTCTTTCAAATTAAAGCTTTACCAAAATTGTTACTGGCAACAAAAGGAAATAAGTTGAAATTACATGGCATTGTATATACAGATAGTCCTCGACTTACAACCGTTCATTTAGTGACTGTTCAAAGTTACAGTGGCACTGAAAAACATGCCTTATGACTGTTTTTCTTACAACCATCCCTAAGGTCGCGTTTTCTAAGTACAGACGCTTTGCAACTGTCTCATATTTATGCCCGTTGCATGCCTGGGGTCATGTGATTCCCTTTTGTGACCTTCTGACAAGCAAAGTAAATGGGAAGCCAGATTCCATTAACAACTGTGTAAGTGATTCACTTAACGGTGGCAAAAAGGTCGTAAAATGGGACAAAACTCACTTAACAAATGTCTCACTTAGCAACAGAAATTTGGGGCTCAGTTATGGTCATTAGTTGAGGACTACCTGTATTTCCTTTTTAATATTGTCAGCAAACTCACAACACTTATATTTCACATTATGGTCCCCTCTTGATTTTGTCCTGGTGCTGAAATATCAGTAGATTTGGCATACAAAAAGTGGCATAGTTGTTTCTTTAAAAACTGGTCCTTGTTCCCGCCCAATTTTTGGGTGATTGTTGTTGCAAGAGGTTTAATAAAAGGCAAGTCATAAAATATGTGGATATCTGTGGAAGATTTAGCATGATTGCTTGATGGAAAAGGAGTGTAAAACATTCTTGACTTCTATAAAACATTTTTGGGAACTTAATTTGAAAACCCCAGGTTGAGGTAGATATAATGTAGGTTCTAAATATCGTTTAAATGGTCTGTGATTCAAATATAGGAATCTTTATGGATTGATCAGTGGTAGAACTAAATCAGGAATACTATTCAGAGTAATTCTTGAAAACTGTTTTACAAGTTGTGAATTGAAATAGAAAATTACAATGACACCAGCTGAGTAGTGATGTTAAAATTATTTATTTAAAGTACATAAAAGTATATTTAGGATGGATGGATAGATAGATAGATAGATAGATAGATAGATAGATAGATAGATAGATAGATAGATGGATGGATGGATGGAGGGAGGGAGGGAGGGAGGGAGGGAGGGAGGGAGGGAGGGAGATTACCTCAGATCATCTTGTTTAGGGAATACATGTCAAACAATAAATGATCTATTCCTGCTGAATCTTTCTAGATACAAAAAATGGTTCATGCATTACTTCCATTTACTTCTGTTGTCAAGCAGAAGTTAAATGGCCATCTGTTAAGAATATTTTAATTTGTATTTCTGAAATGGATAAAGTATTAACTCAGTGACCTCTATGGATGCGTCCAATTCTACAATTTGCTGAATTTTTCACTGTTTGAATCATGGAACTTTCTTCCAGTTCATGATTTGTTATCCAGTGTTTGAATTGTATCAGCCATCACAATAATTTATGGCAATATTTCTTGTCTGCAAACTGGGAATTTATATACATTGCACATAAATATTTTTACCCATTTTTGTTGGCAGGGTTTACACCATCTTCTGTTGCCCCATCACAACCATCAGCAGGCCTTAATGTTGACTTTGAGTCTGTGTTTGGAAACAAAAGTACAAATGCATTAGTGGATTCTGGTGGTAAGTCTTTTAAGTAGCCCTTATTTAATCCTGTTGTGATAAAGGAGAATATTTATAGCCCAGGGTTGAAATGAAGGGGTCTTCAGGGTTATTTTGTTGCAGACATTTCATTATCCAACTAGGTAACCTCATCAGTGCAATGATACGCATTGGCATTGATGACGTTACCTAGTTTGGGTAAACAAAACGTCTGCAAGAAAACAACCCAGCTCAGAGAGCACCAAGGACCCCTTAATCCTGTTCAGAGAGTAAAGAAAAATGGCACACAACTGCATGTAGATCTCTTGAGTTTTCCTAAAAGGAATCTTTTAAACGCTGTGTTTCCCAAAGATCAGATTGAGAGTCACTCATCAAATCTATGAATCTTCTCACCCTCAGTGATTTTTTTTATCGTTCTCAAAGGCTAATTCTGCAAGAATGCAAGATATTATCAGTTTTTTCGGATGCAAGATTCCTTTTACTCTTGTTTCGGTTTTGATCCCAGATTTTCTGGAATTGTCAACTTGATTTTACAGAAGAAAGATGGCAGTATTTTAGTTACCTTTTTTTTTTCTTTTGAAGCATAGAAGCAGAATTCCTAAAGTGTTTTATACAGGTAGTCCTCACAACAGTTCATTTAGTGGCTGTTTGAAGTTACAACGGCACTGAAAAAAGTGACTTATGACCATTTTCCACCCTTTTACAACCATTGCGGCATCCCCATGGTCACATGGTCAAAATTCAGATACTTGGCCACTGACTCATACTTAACGACGGTTGCAAATGTCCTGGAGTCACGTGATCCCCTTTTGCAACTTTCTGACAAGCCAAGTCAATAGTGGAGCCTGATTCACTTAACAGTCGTGTTACCAACTTGTTAACTACAGCAGTTCATTTAACAAATGTGGCAAAAAAGGGTCATGGGGCAAAATTCACTTAACAAATATGTCACTTAGCAACAGAAATTTGGGGCTCGATTGTGGTTGTAAATGGAGGACTACCTGTATTATGTTAAGACAGGGGTCTTCAAACGTGGCCATTTTATGATTTGTGAGCTTCAACTCCCAGAATTCCTCAGCCAGCATGGAGGAACTAAGGCCCCTTCATGACTTGTGGACTTCAACTCCCAGAATTCCTCAGCCAGCGTGCCTGGCTGAGGAATTCTGGGAGTTGAAGTCCACAAGTCATAAAAGGGCCAAGTTTGAAGACCCCTGTGCTAAAATTTTAAAATACATATGGGTTGACATCTGGTACGATAATTGAAAAAGTTTTGTTACATTTAATAATCTGTGTTGTTTTAAGGCTTTGATGAATTAGGTGGACTCCTAAAACCAACCGTGGCTTCTCAGAACCAGAATCTTCCAACTTCCAAAGCACCACCCAATAAGTTAGTATTAGATGACTTGGATTCATCTCTAGCCAACCTTGTAGGAAGTAAGTATTTGTATGGGACTTATATAAAAATAAATAAATAAAAAAATGAACTGTTTTTCTCATGATTTTCTTGTTTTGTAACAGATTTGGGCATTGGAAATGGGACACCGAAAAAGTGAGTTTTTTAATATATATTTTTTCTTCTAAATATATATTCGCAGCAGCTTTACATGACTTGCCAGATTGATTTCTTAATAATACAGATAAGGATAGTGTTGCTGATTGGGAGAATACTCTAAATGAGCCATCTGTGACTGACCAACTAATACTTAGCATCTTCCATCTACCGAATAAATATCCTTGCTGGGGGTGGCTGCTGAGCTGATGGCAGACCCCACTTCCCTCCTTGTTCTCTGATCTCTACCCATCCATCTTCTTTTTTAGGTAATCATGTAAAGGTAGTCCTTGACTTAATTGAGCCTCAGATTTCTTTTTAAAAATAAAAGTTTTATTGATTTTTCAATTGTTTACATGAAGGTGCTTGGGAACCAGCATGGTGATGGGGTAATCGGATATCCACACACACACACACAAAAAAAAAAAAAAACCACAAAGTCATAAATATACAACTTGATTTTGGTCCTTAAAAGTTCCCTCTCTGTTTCGCTCAGTTAATGTAACATATTCAAAGTAACACATTTCTAAATAAAATTCAAACAGTCCGTAACATTATCAATGACATTTTACCTATACAAATCCAAATCTATTTCTATTGCTAAGCGAAACGGCTGTTAAGCAAGTTTTGTCCCATTTTGCGAATTTGCTTTCCAGGGTCATTAAGTGAATCATTGCAGTGGTAGGGTTAGTCACAGGGTCGTTAAGCGAATCCGGCTTGTCCCATTGACTTTGCCTGTCAGAAGGTTGCAAAAGGGGATCACGTGATCCCTAGGAACACTACAACCGTCATAAATACGAGCCAGTTGCCAAGCCTCTGAAATTTGATCCCTTGACCCTGAGGATGCTGCAACGGTTGTAAGAGTGAAAAATCATCATAAGTCACTTTTTTCAGTGCTGTCGTAATTTCAAACCATCACTGAACCAATGTAAGTCAAGGACTACCCGAAAAGACAGGAGATGAGTTATCTCATACTTTTCTAACGTGAATACATGTGAGGTTTTTTTATTTATTTATAGTGATGTAAACTGGACCCAGCCAGGAGAAAAGAAACTAACAGGCGGTTCCAACTGGCAGCCCAAAATTGCACCGACCACTGCTTGGAATGCTCCAACCATGGTAAGCAATTGTCACAAGGCAGGGGGCCACAACCCACTACCGGGCCACGGCCAGTTCGGAATTGGGCCACGCGACCGGCAAGCACCAGTGCACATGCAGCTTGACTTACAGGAGCATCGGGCGGGCACACGTGCACGTGCGCACACAGCTTATATTCCGCAAGTTGAGCTGCATGCGTGTGCACTCCGGCCTGCCACTTATGAGGCCCAGTTCCCCTCTTGCTCCCCCCCACTCCAGCTGGGCCACCAAGCCATAAAGGTTGGAGACCGCTGCCATAGGGAGCTTCTTCATGAATCCACCAGCTTAGATTGTATTGTGGGTATATAATGTATCATCAAGAATTCTGGTTATGTACTCTAGAAAACCTGGCTATCCAAATTGCAAAGATTCTCTTTTGGATTAGATTTAGGACATTTCATAGTGGCTGACAAATACCCAATTTGAAGTTAACATCAGCAGTAGCCTTAAAAGGTGCAGCTTTCAAAGTCTTATCGTTTGTTTAAAAAGAAGGGGAGGGGTATTTCTCTTGCCTTTGCTTGTGGGAAGTTGGCAGGGAAGGTCACAAATCACAATCATATAACTGTGGGATGCTGTGACAGAAATCCTGGACTGGATCATGATCACACATCTATGGGGATGTTGCAATGGCTGGTTGTAAGCACCACTGGTTCAGCACTGTCTTATGTTCAAATGCTCACTGAATGAGCAGCCATTATGGGAGGACCACCTGTTATCTGAATATTCTTAAAGCAGTTTTTGTTCTAAGAATACAATATACTATCTTAATGAACAGAACAAGGAAAGAGGAGGCACAAAAACATAAATCATAAAAGAACATGCAGTTATTATAGTTCTGTTTTAATGTGAAGGCTAAACCTTCCAGGCATATTTTGCTAAAAAAAAAAAAAAAAAAAAGGAGGGGGGTGAAGTTTGGGGAAGCCTCCCCTTCTTAAACCTATCCTTGACCTCCCCAACTCTTAGTCAAGAAATATTTCTAAACCATTTCAGAAAGGGGAAATTAGCTGTGGAAGCCGTCATGATGAGCCCTTCCAACTTTTGTGGGCCAGGATCCAATTCTTGTAGGACTTAATATGACAAAGAAATCCTCGTGACGGTCACAGCGTCTAGCCCTGTCCTAACCTTTCATACCTGAATGAAGACTGAGGCTTCCAAATAAATTGTGCAATAACTTTAAATTTAAAACCCAGTCTTAAAAAAAAAACCCAATATTCTTACAGATCACAAATGTGGGAATGAAATAGTTTTGTAGGGAACATGGGTGTAATTTAGGCTTTTTGTTACACCTTATGCAAAGTTTTGAGTTTTCATGATCTATTGGGAGCGGGAAAAGTGGTGTTTTGAATTAATCTTCTCCTTTAACACTATGTTGTCTCGTTTTCTCTTCAGTGTTTTGTTGTAAATTACTGAAGTCCAGTATGTCAGAAATGTGACAAACTTGCTGACAGTAGATTACGTTATAAATTCTGTCACAGACTTAGCAATCTTGTTAAATTCCTTTTTTTTTTTTTTTTTTGCTAAACGTCTTATTGGTTTACAAGAATGTGTTCCTCAGGGTTGCTAAGCACACTTGTAACCAAAATGCTTTGTGTATATTCTGTTGTGTAAGTAATCATTTCTAATCCAGTGTTATTGCATTGTGTAATTGTTCTTCCGGGGGAAAACCAGAATGGCATGCATTTTCCACAATACGTAAGTGAACAAAACCTGCAGTCTCTCTCTCTCTCTTTTTTTTTTTCCCCCAATCCGATTGGCATGCTGATATTAACCACTACAGCAGAATCTCATAAACCTGCTATTGCACACTTCTGTTAAGATATTTGGGCATGATGGAAATTTTGAGCAGCTTCTAATATATCCAGATTTTAAGGGCACCCTTTTGAAGCCAAGAATGGCATGAAGAAATATTCACAATTATTTTCCTGCTTTAACTCTTTCGTTTGCTGCCCAATTAGCTGATGTGTTGCCTCCGCATTGCCTTTTTAAGTGCATTTGAATTTGAATAAATTAAATGAAAAAAGGCATTTGTGCGTACAAATAATTGCATGAAATCTCACAAGCTTCTTTCCACTCCCACCCACCATAGTACTTGATTTCAAAGAGGGAGAGACCAATATGTTCTAAAATATCACTGAATAGAGTGATATTTCCCATGTTTGCTGAGGTGATTCAAAAGGGTCTGACCTGCACCGTGTGCTATCTCTTTCCACTAAAAAAAAAAGTTCATTAATGATAATTTTTTTAAAAAAACTCCACAAACGGACTATCTAATTGTTCATTATTGACAAGAGCTAAAGAATGAAGTCTCTAAATACTTTATATTCTAAATCCTAACAGGTAGTCCTCAACTTACTACCACAATGTGAAGCTAAGCGAGACATTGGCTAAGTGAGTTTTGCCCCATTTTGCGACCTTTCTTGCCAGGGTTGTTAAGTGAATCACTGCAGTTGTTAAGTCAGTAACACGGTTGTTAAGTGAATCTGGATTCCCCACTGACTTTGCTTGTCAGAAGGTCGTAAAAGGGGACCCCGCAACCCGTCATAAATACGAGTCAGTTGCCAAGCGTCCGAGTTTTGATCATGTGACCACGGAGATGCTGCAGCAGTCATAAGAGTAAAAAAAATGGTTATAAGTCATTTTTTTGATGCCCTTTTGAACAGTCATTAAATAAATGGTTGTAAGTTGAGCACTGCCTGTTTCTGAGGTAAGTTTAACTGATAAAAGTTTTTGCCTTTAGATTATCTTCTGGTTAATTCAATCTGCTCTATCTGTGACACGGCTGAATTTCCATACATCAAAAATCATAGTAACTTTTAATTCTTCAGCTCTTTCGTTTGGGACATCATACTTAAGCCCATTTGGTTTTACTTTCCTTATTATTGGTCTTTCCCTATAATCTTTTCATGGAGAAGAAAATCTTAAAACACCTTAAAACAGTTGAAAATGAGTAAATGTATGGCCGTGTATATGCAATATATACAGTATTTTGCTTCTTTGGTTATGTTAATAGTAATCACTGCCATTTCATTAATCATAGTAAATAATAGCCAATTGGATTCCATACACTTTGAGAGCAAGCAGCTAAATTTCATTTTAATGTGTGTCGTTGTGCCCACAGTAAAAAATGACAATAAAAGTTACCTGTCTGTCTTTCTCTCTGTCTGTCTATCTATCTGTCTGTCTGTCTGTCTATCTATCTATCTATCTATCTATCTATCTATCTATCTATCTATCTATCTATCTATCTATCTATCTATCTATCTATCTAGTATAATCCATAGGAAAAACTGTAGGTTTTCCTTCATTCACTTTTATCTTGTTGGAAAATCTTTTTCAGACAGTTGAATTTCTTATAAAATTATGGGTATAACACGCACCTCTATGCCTCCTTTAAATTCAGAAAACTTTGCATAGCAAAATGACTCTAGCGCAGTGGTTCTCAACCTGTGGGTCGGGACCCCATTTGGGGTCGAACGACCATTTCACGGGCGTCACCAAACAACGCAGTCCGCCATTTTTTCCCCTTTTTCCTTAGCTGTGCTACTCCCTTTTATTCTATTGTCTTTTGAAAGCCAATAGAATAGTCTCTCTTGAATAGAGTCTAATTCTATTGGCTTTCAAAAGCCAATAGGAATTGTCCAGGCTGTCTCTGCCGTGCTGAGCCCGCCAAAAGTCCCATTCTGGAAACGGTGCTGCACCAGTTGAGTAGTCCTCGACTTACGACCAGTTGAGGGTCACGGCATTAAAAAGATTGAGAACCACTGGTTTAAAAGAACCATGAAGGAGGAAGGGAATTCACAATATTCCTGAACGTCAGTTAAATATGACAGCAGATGACATCAAGAGGCAGATAGCACATAAACTGCAGCACATGTCTCAAAATTAATATAAAATTAAGGATATTCATGCCTAAGCTATGTAGGTTAAAATGCTAAAAAAATGTAAAGGCATACCTCTTGCAAAACACTTTGTCAATGTTAACTGGCAGTGACATGGAGGGAAAAACTCAAAATACATGTTTGCTGGCATAAAGTTGTTGAACTTTATGCAAATACCTGGCACGTTCCTGATAAGTCATCTAATAATTATCTAAAGTCCATCAAATTCGGGGTTCATTTTCCTGCAGTTTCAGGGATTCATTGAGCAATTGTTAATGTTTGGTAAACTTCCTACCTAAAATTTAATCATTTAAGGTAATAAGTTGGAATTGCCAGCTCTGTGGAGATTCCCATATTGACCTGGACCAGCACTAACCTGTGATCTCATGTATCTGCCAACTGTGCTTTGGAGCTTAAAAAGAACAGCAGTCCCAAACTGCTTGTTTTAATCAGTAATTGATTATTCTAATAAATTATGGAGTTGCCAGTTGGGATTCAGCTGGTAATGGAGGTCATACAGGAGTATTGTCAGATAAACAGTTCATTAATTATGTTAATTAACAATTCTTTTATCTCATCCCAGTTAAGAGACTTTGGGGAGAGCGATCTCCCTTCAAAAATATTAGAGCCCCAGTTAACAATAAAAACCAGCATAAAATCAACTTGTGTCTTTTGTCAAGGTACAAAAGAATTGTTTCTTCTTTGGGGATTTATTTATTTATCCATTTGTTCATCACGTTTACGTGGTTTATGTTGCTGCCTATCTCACAAACAAGGGATTCTGGATGTATACTCTTAAGCTACACAGAACAATTATTGTTATTTAAAAAAAACGTTAAAACCTATAAAACACAAGGCTAAAAAAGAGCAAATTAATGGTATGCTTTTCCCATTAGGCACCGCCTGTCATGGCCTATCCTGCTACAACGCCAACAGGAATAATGGGATACGGAATGGTCAGTAAAGTTTGTATTTTAAGTCCTTTGAGGAGCATTAATTTGTAGGCATCCCCTCCCAATATATTCATTGTGCTTGTTTGTGTGTTTATGGGAGAAGACTGTTCTGTGATAAGATGCCACATACCCAATGGCTCTGTTTCACTTCTGGTTTTTTCCTGGTTTGTGATCTCAGTTTGCTAGGAAAATCACTCATAGTAAACTACTTTGAGCACATTTTGATGGAAAAGTGGGAGTCCAGTTGAAGAAATAATAGACTCTTTTGCTTTCAGTCTTCTAATACCTTCCAGATGTACTCCAGAATTTGTACAAATGTATAGCTAAAATTAGATTTAACTTGAAACAGATGAGTGATGTTAGAAACATTAACAACCAGGCTCAGTTATTACAACTGAAATGAAAAAAGTGCTTTCTGAATAAGAATACCTTAAAATGATGCTACGACAAACATGGCAAAAACATTTTTGTATGTATCCTCTGGAGCTTTTTTTTTTTTTTTTTGGCCTCTTACTTTTTGGAAACACAAAGCAGATTCTTGTTGGCCATTCCTAAAAGCAGGGGTCTCCAAACTTGGCAACTTTAAGACTCGTGGACTTCATCTCCCAGAATTCTCTAGCCAGCATGGGAATTTGGGGAGTTGAAGCCCACACGTCTCAAAAGTGGCCAAGTTTGGAGATCTCTGCCTAAAAGGACAGAAAAGTTATGTAGGGAAAAATCCCCGCCAACAAAAATGACAGTTTCCAGTGACTTCTTTGTGGTAGCTCTAATGACTAAGCCAGAGGTCTTCAAACTTGGTCCTTTTATGACTTGTGGACTTCAATTCCCAGAATTCCTCAGCCAGCCATGCTGGGAGTTGAAGTCCACAAGTCTTGGAGAGACTCCTGTCTATGAGCATGTACAGCAGGGGTCTTCAAACTTGGCCCTTTTATGACTTGTGGACTTCAACTCCCAGAATTCCTCAGCCAGCATGCCTGGCTGAGGAATTCTGGGAGTTGAAGTCCACAAGTCATAAAAGGGCCAAGTTTGAAGACCCCTGGACTAAGCCATCCTGCTATATCATAAATATTCTACTGTCTTGTTAACAGAAGACGATGGTTCAAAGCATACTCTTGGTGGGCATGTCATCATTTTATTTTATTTCATAACATTAATTCTGTGCTGTTCTGCATTCTTAGCCATCCCCAATGGGAGGAGTGCCAGTAATGACGCAGCCAACTTTAATATACAGCCAACCTGTCATGAGACCTCCAAATCCTTTTGGTCCTATATCAGGAGCGCAGGTAGGTTTTAATTTGCACTCTGCAGCCCTGAAAGCACAAGGAAGAAACCTCTGTGGAGAAGGATGAAATCAGTTGAATATTTTTAATCGTTCGTGGCATGCAGACGTATCTGGTTCAAGTGTTAGTTTCGCATCTAAGATGGCTTTCATTCTGAGCCAGATGGAATAGTCCAAATGGGTCTCAAGAAAGCTTATTATACACCAGAAGACTCCAGAGATCTGGGATGAGAATTGTTCAAAAGAGGTCCCACTGACGCAAGTTCTGAGATGACAATCAAATGATTGGGGAGCTTACAGTGAACCTGGCACAAGAAAGAAAGAATAACTGCACAAAACAGAGCCCATTAATTCCTAAATGAATTCATAAAGAACAATAGTATTTTTCTTCTGTCAGAGAAGCTAAAGCCAAGGAGACGCCAGTGGAGTTATTAAAATGAACAAATAATATATATTTCTAGGGGATGTATTAAAAGGAAAGTTACAAAAAAATGGGTCTCACTATCCAGATGAAGTACAAGGTTTGTACTTCTGAGGCTTAAAGTATTAACCTGGTTTGGATGTCTACAGTGTCCTCTCATTGTACTGATGTCATTGCACACGTGGGGTTTCTTATTTATAAAAAAAAGGGAACGTTCCATTTTTATTCCTCCCTTATGTGAGAATGTGAAAAACTTCCCCTTGGAGGCGTTCTTAAATCAAGATGGTACTTAATTCTGTGGTGTCTCTGTGTTCACAAACTTGCTTCCTTAAGCTTTTGTAAAACACGTGGAAGGTGCTGAAACCTGAAATGATAAGATAAGAGATCCTGATGCCCATTGGGAGGGCTTGTGTCTATTTAGATTAGACATGTCAAAACTCTTGACGTGACGCAACGTATCGAGACGGTTTTGCCATTGCCGGCAATGGGGTGGCGCGCGGCTTCCGGATGACGCATCCGGCCCGTGGGCCGGCAGTTTGACACCCCTGATTTAGATCTTCAAAAGGAAGTAGATACTGTAGAGCAGGGGCCTACAAACTTAGCAACTTTAAGACCTGTGGACTTCAACTCCCAGAATTCTTCAACCAGCCATGATGGCTGAGGAATTCTGGGAGTTGAAGTCCACAAGTCTTTAAAAGTGCCAGGTTTGAAGACCCCTACTGTAGACCTTTCCAGCAGGGTTGTCCAACCTTGGGAACGTCAAGCCTTGTGGACTTCAACGTCCAGAATTCCCCAGCCAGCAATGCTGAAGTCTGCAGGTCGGAGTTGGTCCACAGGTCTTCAAGTTGCCAAGATTGGATACCCCTGCTTTATACTATCAAACCAAAATTGTCCTTAGACTATCCCAAAAAAAGAAAAAAAAGATTTGATGCCAGCAGCATTTTCACAGATATCTTGGAGAGTTCAAACATGAGCTCTCCTGTACTCCTGAATGGCACGGCAATGGAAGAATTCGTAACCTGCGCCCTTTCTAAATGCTTGGATTGAACCTGGCTGTGTACTTAAGAATAAGGAAATCAGTTGTTGTTATTAGAAGCACACCCTTAGTGGAAGCATTCTCTCGGTTTGCCCTGGAATTAAACCATTTGTGGTTCCTCATTGCTCTTGGTTTGGCTTCAGCGATGTCAGATTTATTAGAGTTTGTTGGTGAGGGAACAAAGGCTTGTTGTGAAGGCCTATTTGCTGGCTGGGTGTCGCCTCTACTGGGCTTCCCTTAGAGCAGTGTTTCCCAAACTTGACAATTTTAAGGCATGAGGACTTCAACTCCCAGAATTCCACAGCCAGCAACGCTGGCTGTGGAATTCTGGGAGTTGAAGTCCACATGCCTTAAAATTGTCAAGTTTGGGAAACACTGCCTTAGAGTTTTGAAGGAGTTGTTCCTTTTGGATCACCCATCGGTGTTGGCAGGTCTTTTGTTAGTTAAGTTGCATGCATGGGTGAACTTTCTATGTTACGTGAACTAAATGTATTAACCCAGAGCAGAGCAACTGGAGTGAATGAGTCTGGAATTTCATCATTTGCCATGGAACTGAAAGGGGATCTTCATGGCATGTCTCTCTCTCTTCCTTCATTAAACCTCCACATAGTTTCCTCATTCTGTTCTCTTCCATATCCACCTGCTTCTCTCCAGGAATAAAGTAGTACAGTTCCTATCCTGTGTGGTCCTGATCTACAAACAAGTTTTTGCATTTAAGGGCACTTGTAAGAGGATGTAAATGTGACCAGGTTTAGTAACTGCCACTATCACGGCTTCATCTAGAGCATAACAGAAAATATCTCAACCATGGCTCAGGGGCCAAGAGCAGAAAAGTCAAAACTTAGATGTTTTAATCTAAGAAGCTCTTATAATAAGGACACTCAGATACAGCAAAATTAGGCCTTCCTATCCTCTATTTAAAACATCCCCAAGGTTTAACTTCTAATGCAGTGATTCTCAACCTTTTTAATGCTGCGACCCCCAACCGGTTGTAAGTCAAGGACTACTCAACCAGTCATAAGTCGAGGACTACTCAACTGGTGCAGCACCATTTGCAGAATGGGACTTTTGGCAGGTTCAGCAGGGCAGAGACAGCCTGGACAATTCCTATTGGCTTTTGAAAGCCAATAGAATTAGACTCTATTCAAGAGAGTCGATTCTATTGGCTTTCAAAAGCCAATAAAATAAAAGGGAGTAGCACAGCTAAGGAAAAGGGGAGAAAAAGGGCGGACTGTGTTGTTTGGCAACCCCCGTGAAATGGTCGTTCGACCCCAAATGGGGTCCCGACCCACAGGTTGAGAACCACTGTTTTAATGCAAGGGTCTTCAAACTTGGCCCTTTTATGACTTGTGCACTTCAACTCCCAGAATTCCTCAGCCAGGCACAAGTCCTAAAAGGGCCAAGTTTGAAGGCCCCTGTTTTAATGAGTCTTTTGACCCAGCACGGTAACAACCTTCTTGCCACTTGTTTCCTGGTCTTGCAGGTGGAAAACACCTGCATTGTGTTTTGATAAAGGCCTTGTCTTCTCTCAGTCCCTTTGCTGCCAGATGTCTCCAACATCAGCTCTCACAGCAAGAGCCATTTGTGAATTACTTATGGCTTCCTAACAGCAAAAGGTTCACCCTTTCTGTTCAGGCTAAGGAAATTTATATTAGGAAGAGGAGAGGAGAGGAATGGAGCAGAGCATGTGACAAATAGACTGAACGCACAAGGAAATTGTATTAATTACCGAACTCTAAGCAAGTAATTTTGGATAATATAAGCTTGTTTATTCATTTATCAAACTTCTAAGGCGACGCAACTCCCTAAAGACTCTAGCTGGGTATAGAATATTAAAAACCGTCAGAAACATCATAAACCAGAGAAAAAAGCAATAACCCTCCAGATCAGGATTCTCAAGGAGAGTGGACTTCAATTCCCAGAATTCCAAAGCCAGCAGGACCAATGATGATAGTACTGGAGGCTGAAGTCCACATGCCTGGAAATGTCCAAGGTTGCTCCAGACCAGTGGTTCTCAACCTTTTTAATGTCGCGACCCTCAACCGGTCGTAAGTTGAGGACTACTCGACCGGTTGTAAGTCGAGGACTACTCAACTGGTGCAGCACCGTTTGCAGAATGGGACTTTTGGCGGGCTCAGCAGGGCAGAGACAGCCTGGACAATTCCTATTGGCTTTTGAAAGCCAATAGAATTAGACTCTATTCAAGAGAGTCTGTTCTATTGGCTTTCAAAAGCCAATAGAATAAAAGGGAGTAGCACAGCTAAAGAAAAGAGGAAAAAAATGGCGGACTGCGTTGTTTGGCGACTCCCGTGAAATGGTTGTTCGACCCCAAATGGTGTCCCGACCCACAGGTTGAGAACCACTGCCCCAGACAATAATAAAATCGTTATCTTTAACACTACATTTTCGCCCAAATGGGTCTGCTGCATTTCCTAGCCTAGGGCAGTGATGGCGAACCTATGGCACGGGTGCCAGAGGCGGCACTCAGAACCCTCTCTGTGGGCACGTGCGCCATCGCCCCAGTCCTAGGCCTTCAGCTGGGTTTTATAAAACTTTTTCGCTTTAGGCCTCCGCTGCCATGTGCAGAAAAAAAAAAAAAGGTTCAATCAGTCAATTTCAACTTCTCACAGGGAAAAAAAAAGATCTTGCAAAGTTGGAATTGATTGATTGAACTTTTTAGTCCCACCCAGTCTGCCATTACCACCGCAGCCGCGCCCACCCAATGGGCCACGCCCACCCAGCACTCGACGATGCATAAGTGGGTTTTGGGTTGCAGTTTGGGCACTCGGTCTCTAAAAGGTCCGCCATCACTGGCCTAGGGCTTGGGTCAAAGCCAGGTTTTCATGGCTGACGTAAACCAGGTTGGGGTGCGTTGATGTGTTTTCTTTTCCTTTAAGCCCTTTCCTCATCCAGGGGAGAAGCCTAGATGAAAGAAACCTCATACAAGCATTAATGCTATTAAAGGCAAAGGAGCAGATGCATTTAATTTTGTTTAACTCTCCTGATGAAGTTGATATCCTGTGCTGGAACCAGAGCGTGGAAGGAATTAAAGTCCCATGGGAAAGCTTGGATCAGAGTGATATTTTTAGGTATTGGGGGGAATTTGAGTGCTTTTAATAGAATTGTGTTCCACCTTCCCACATTCAGTGTTACTGAGCTATTATGTATACGTATGACTAAAATGTTTACTTTAAACAAATGCCAATATGGGACTGCTGTTTGGAAGACAGTTGCCATGGGTAGGAAGAATTAGCCAGGCTTTAAATATCTTGGACCCACTTGTAGATGATATTCTAAACATAACTAGTCTATTTCTAGCAGAAAGCAAATTATGTCTTGACAGTTGACATGGAGCAGAGAACCACTTTGGCATATTGATAATATTTGCTTATAGTTTTGAACAGACTATAAACATAAGGGGAATTGTCTTTAAAAGGCCCCAGAACAGCAACAAAACTCCCTTTCCTTCCCCTAACTTGTGCAGTTACTCTAATAACATGTTAATCTGAGAAATACAGAGGTGTCTTAGAATATAGAATAATATAGA